CATCATTGTTGTCCCACAAATCTGCACACTTCCTCGTAGAACTTCCCAAAATCATTAAGGCCTTGATTTTGCAACCTGAATATAAATTCCTCATTTTTGGTTCTCTTAGTTACATTATCTGACATTCTATACATGTGATGGCCCGTAAAACATGTGCCTCGAGTATAGCCAACAAGTTGTGATCTTGCTCAAGGGATTCAAGATACACGCGGGTGTTGAAGCAGATCACATATGACTACCTATCTAACACGCTACCAGGATACTTTACCAGGAACTACCTTGCCCTAGCTACCTAAAGCGCATCCAGGAGACTGCGCAGAAGAGAACAATGTCACCGCGCTTCAGTCTCCAAGAAAGAGGGAGATGGGGAGGGTGGGGGCTCGAGAGTTGCGTACCGAGAATGGCATTTCTCAAATCCGCCGCTCTACGCCCTTGCAAAGATGAGAGCAACTTGTTACTAATTTTATCAAGATGCGAATCCATCATTCCCCATCAATACTTGCTGCCTGATGATTTGCAGATCTTCGAAAGGTAATATACAACCGAAGAATTGACAAGTGGACCTAAAGTTAATGTCAAGTTAATCAAGTTGTTTCATGGACATGTGGTCTATCCAAGCGTACGTATTATCGTATTGTCGTCTCCCCACAAGCTTAACCATCCCCATATTTTCAAAGAAGACAGCTTTGGCGCTTTGGTCGTCCTTGAATAATGGCTTACAGCACCGGAAAAGCATGGGTTCTGTTGATACGGGAATTTTCAAGATCGTATGTCTACGTAGATTCTAACATGAGGGTCGAAGATACAGCGAAGCTAGGCGACTGCACGTCTTCGAATGCGCCATAGACGCTGGTGAACAAATATGATGCCGTCAGAAAAAGAGAGGTCTAGACCATGTGGTGTTAAGGATATAATCACCTATCGTCAACAACTGAAAAGCCATTAACTTGTCGACTAGGCTGGTAGCATTTGCAAGGTCTAAACGGCTGTCTGATCGCCATTGAATCAGTGGCAGGAACCTGTCAGGCTCTTCCTGTTCAACGGGGGGAAACAGCACGGGAAACGGCAATGGGATCGTCACTGACGGGCTTCCATCTACCGAGATAGCCAATTAACATACAACCGTACCGGATCTCTTCCAGCTGTGAGGAGGTAGCCAGTACACCTGAGCCTAGTCTGGCACGGGAGATCGCGTGATGAAAGTATCCCAGTTCTTGGCAGCAGATTACGCACAACTTGAAAGCACACGCATTAGCTGGCGAGGGCATACAGAGCGTGGCGCAGCTCTGTGAGTGCGACAACGATCCCGTTCATTCCCCATAGGATATGATACGATGGCTTCTTTGCCTGTGTCTCAATTGATCTAGTTGGTGGGTGCCAATTTTCAGACGCAGGGTTTAGAGTACGGCACAGATATGTTTCTTGCCGACATCACTACGGCGAGATTGTACAGAGATGACGGGAGATCGAATCTGTGTGTGCGGCACTAGCTTGAAGCCCTGAGACTTGCATATGGTGCCGGTGAAGCTTCTGAAGAGCACCAAAGAAATTGGCGATGCAATGCCTGCGGTAAAGCGGGTGCTTAATTTAGAAAAAAAAACGGACTAAAATGGCAGCTGGGCTGAGCCATCAGTAAGGGAGCAAATGCCGGATTACGGCATTTTAGAAGGTGCCTTGCAACATCTGCCCGGCCAAGGAATCTGGGGTCGATGCCGTGTGGCGGGCAATGGAATTCAAAGTTCGGTTGTAGTTGCCGGATAGCGCAGGCTAGAATGTGGTGGCAATGCCGTAACGGTGAACCAGGTAGGTCGGCCGTCGGAGCCGATGACGGCACGGAATCATGGTGCCGGGCGGGGCCGTGTCTACCGGTCGTTTGCCCCTGGTCAGTGAGTGAATTATTCTCCCCCGCCAAGAGTCAAATAAGATGGGGGCTGTTTTGGTGAGTGAGACAATAACCATGTGGGGGCCAGTAAAGGGATGCGAGTCTATCACAATCAAGCACTTGTGCTGGACAGAACCCATCCACCCGGCCGAGATACGATATGCTGAAGTGCAATCTCTCGCCCCCGTTGTAAAGCGCCAGTCACGAGGATGGCAGCGATGGGGCGTCAGAGTGATCGACTACTGGCGGGGTAGCACTTGCGAGAGGACTTCCTTCGTGTTCAACGGCTCCACGGCACGAGGGAAATCCGCTTTTCCCATGCCATGCCGTGACAAGCGATGCACTGCACGCAGCTGCCATCGTCTCGTGCCTTGCAGCTGGTAGGGCGCTACTAAAGACACTAGTCGATGAGGAGGAGGGAGGCAAACGAAGAAATTTTGTTTTCCTGGATCTCGTTTGTTGGTAGCACAAGCTTTCGGCGCAGAGCATTGCTCAGGTACGGTGGCTTGCGAAGGACAAACGATGGGAAACCATTTGCGCATCGACGAGGCTTCGTCATCTCCACCAATACAGCACGGAAAGTCTGCCGGAAGAAATCTGCCGCCACAATTCCAATTGGTGGCTGGAACAGTCGCCAGGCCATATCGGGTGGTTGTCGGGTTCACGTGGATGGTGGTGCATCGAACAAAGAACCAAGTTGGGTGCTGACCAAAGGCAAAATCGTCTCAAAATCACCGTCTCTGATTTCCTAAGCGTGTTCCTGGGGAAAGAGAGTTGCAGCGACAGCAGTTTGCCCGAGCGTTGAGGCGGTTTCTGCTCACAACAAAGAGGCCCTCCCAGGCGAACCCTTGGAGCAAGGCGTAGAGATGACACCATGCTGAGGTGAAAACATCGGATATCCTCAGCGGAAGGGGAGCCCGGAGAAGAATGCGAAAGTTCAGAGTTGGCCGTCGTTCGTTCTGTCAATCAATCCACGTCCACCGCCCCCCATGTCTCAGAGTCTCCTGTTGGCTCCGGATAGGCTGGCGCATTGTCCTGGAAAAGCTGGAACGTGGTGTCTCATCCCGTTTCGAGGGGGGCTGTCTCTTCCGGGAGTTGTCTTGCTCAATGAGAACGTAATTAGAAAGAAGACTCGGGCCTGTCACTGATTTCCGACTGAAAGCAACATCAGCTTACACCAACAGCTAGCTTGTCGTCTGTTCGGAAGAGGAAGGCCCAAGAGATGGAGCCCTGCAACGTGGGTATAGAACACAACGGCCCTGCAGATAAACGAGCTTGTTGAGGACCAACAAGGAGATTAGTTCAGACTGGCCACTGGGTTCGTATGGATAATGAAAAGCCAAGCTTTGGCACATGCAGAGTGAGAAAGTGGGCGACTAGTCAGCGCCCCTCGCTCTCGTCCACTGATTCCCTCGTTGCGGCTTGCCCCTGTCTGCTCACTCAATTACGCCCGGACCAGCAAGCTGCCCGGGCCATCCTATTCTCTCTTCTTTCTTTGGCTTCTCTCGCGTCTGGGACTTTTGGTTGTGGAGGCAGGGGGCAGAAAGAGAGGGCCCCTGTCGTCTCTGACGCTCCCCAGCCCTGAAAGTATGTGTGCGAAGGGCCTTGCTTTAGGAATTGAGATGCCGAGAGGCTGTGTGTGACCTCACGAGCTGAGGGTTGGTACTGTGAATGACGGGTGGCTGGACAACAAACGGAAAGAAAGGCAACTAGTAGAGCAGACTTTGGGCAAAGTCGCGAGCTAACGACGGCGATCTATAGAGGAGTGTGTCTGTAAAGATAGATAGGACTGTTGGTCTGAAAAAGTCGACGACGACGGGGCTGAGGCCGCCTGTGAGACGGAAACTAATTCGACTGGTTTTTTTACTCGCAACATGGGGCGGAGGCGAAAGAACCAATGGACAGGCGCAACAGGTGAGCTGAGATGAGACGGTGATGTGAGAGCAAGGTCCGAGGGGGGAAAAGTCGCCGCAGTCTGGGTTGGGCCGCAGACGTGCAGGCGGGGGAGTACTAGAGACTCGAGATGGGACGGACGGACATGTCCCTGTTGCTCTTTCCTTCCCGTCCACTGTATCCGTACCCCGTCTCAGTATTACTGGCGGGAGAAGGTGCGAAGGCAAGGTAAGGTACATGGCAAAGAAGGTGCGGACGGATGGTGCTGGTCCCTGGAGATGGTTGTGTGACGCTAGGCCGAGATGAGATAAAAGCAGTGAGCATCATATCCATACCCGGCAGGCGGGAGCCATGGTGCCTTTTCCATTTTAATTTACATTGGATGTCGCGACTTCCCTCCTCTGTGTCAAGTCTCGCCGAGCTCCTCCTTATTACCATCGCTTGCCTCCTCTTGGCCCCGACCCTGTCGACCCTGTCGCACCTCGTTTCTCTTTCCTCTCTGAGTTTGACCTCTCACAGTCTGCACTCTGCAACACTCGCTCGACAGAGTCGTGCCTGTTCGTTTGTGTAAAGGAAAAGCACCGTACATCCCGGCTAGCGGCATCTCTCTCACACACCCAAACACACTCTCCTCCAACCACTTCACCTCGAATTCCTTCGATTCTCGTCACTCTCTCAAACCACATCAGCACCCAAAACACTTTGTTTCCTTTCTGGACCCTTTTTAGCGTCCCAATTCTCTTTTCTTGCCTTGGCTCACAAATACCCACATTCATCTTCTCGGCGCTCTCTTGGATTTCGTCCCACCTTTTAAACTAAAGGCACGACAAACGAAGAATACCGACATCACCAATTCTTCTACGACTACACGTTTAATACTCGACGCCTATCACAGACACTGCGTCGAGATAATCCTGCCGATATTGCAGCCATGCTTGTGAGTTTGGCCCGTGTCTTCTCTCCCTCATTCACTGCAGTTACATTGGATCTTTTGGCCCAGCCGACCGGTTCAACGTTTGCAGCAGTCCATCGCGGCGTCGATCAGGGCGCAACAGACAAGTCAAGTTCCGGTTGATTCGTGTGGAGAGACAACTCCATTGTCGGAATCCAGCACACTGGCGACGCCACATTCTGTCGATCTCCCTCCCCTTCCCCTTCACGCTTTCTCCAAGACATGCAGCAGCATCAACATTGCCGTGTAACTTTAATCTAATTTGGCGCCAATATGCAGGTCCAAACTGCTCTCGTCGCATTGAGTGCGACCCTGGCTGTCGCCGTCAAGCCCCTCACCGTTAAGGGCAATGCCTTCGTCACCGGAGGCGGCGAAAAGTTCCAGATCGTTGGTGTCGACTACCAGATTGGCGGCAGCGCCGGTTACGATCCTACCCATGGTCGCGACCCCCTTAGCGATGGCGATATCTGCCTGCGCGATGCTGCCGTGCTCCAGCGCCTCGGCGCCAACGCCATCCGTGTTTACAACCTCGACCCTAACCTGAACCATGATGCATGCGCTTCCGTCTTTAACGCAGCTGGCATGTACATGATTCTCGACGTCAACTCCCCTCTCGTCGGCGAGAGTATCACGAGCTTCCAGCCCTGGACCAGCTACTACGCTGCCTACCTCAACCGCACATTTGCCATCGTTGAGGCTTTCAAGAGCTACCCCAACACTCTCGCCTTCTTCTCCGGTAATGAGGTCATGAATAACGTCCAGACCGCTGAGTATGTTCCTCAGTACCTCCGCGCCGTTACTCGTGACTTGAAGAACTACATCTCCAAGCATTCCGACCGCGCTATCCCCGTCGGTTACTCCGCTGCCGACGTTCGCGAGATCCTCGTGGACTCTTGGAACTATCTCCAATGTGCCGAGAACGGAGACGCCAACGATCCCAGCCGTATCGACCTCTTCGGCCTCAACTCCTACTCGTGGTGCGGTGATTCCAGCTTCAAGACTTCCACCTACGATCAACTCGTCTCCAGTTTGAAGGACACCTCTGTCCCCGTCTTCTTCTCTGAGTTTGGCTGCAACCAGGTCACCCCTCGTCCCTTCACCGAGATTGGCTCCATCTACGGCCCCGACATGAACTCCACCTTCTCTGGAGGTCTTGTCTACGAGTACAGCCAGGAGGACAACAACTACGGCCTGGTCAAGGTCAACGACGATCAGTCCGTCACGCTGCTCATTGACTACCAGAACCTTGCTACCCAGTACAATAAGATCGACTTCAAGGCCCTTCAAGCCGTCAAGGCTCCCTCCTCCTACCCCAGCCCCCCCAAGTGCACCTCGTCCCTCATCAAGGAGAAGGGTTTTAACAACAACTTCACCCTGCCGGACGTTCCCCCTGGCGGCCAGGACCTGATCAACAACGGTATCAAGAACAAGCCCTCCGGCAAAATCATCTCCATTTCAGACTGGACCGTCAAGCAGAAGGTCTACAATGTTGACGGCAAGACGGAGATCACCGGCCTTGCTGTCACTCCCCTCGCAGACTCCGACTCCAACACGCCCGGCACAAACACGGGCGGTTCGACTGTTCCTGCTGGCAGCGCCACCCCTACCCCTTCGTCGAGCACTCACCAAAATGCCGGCATTGCAATTCGCCCTGAGTTTGCCGCCTTTGCTGCACCTCTACTTGCTCTTTTGTTCTTGTAAAAGCTCTGGGAGCGTATGCTGGATGTTGTGTGTGGCTCATTAGTACGGTTTGGAGGTAATGACTTGGTTTCTCTCTGGCATGATAGATCCCCCGCGGTTTGTTTATAAACCCCAATTGATACTTTCTTAAGACGTGTATCCTGTCACGCGATGATTGCTTTACCTTGGAGGAAGTCGATTTATTGTTGTCAACGTCATCCCAATTTGTTGGTGGGTCCGCGATCACTCACACCACAATAGGTCTTAGAGGGTTGTGCTGAGGCGTACTGGTCTGCGCTTCAACTTAAGAGGCAGACTCTTGCGTTTTGTCTAACCGAGCAAGAACGGGGAGATTGTCTCTGTTTGCTGTAAAAATTTGCTCCGGTACCATTTTAGTTGCCACATCGATTAGGGCCTTTCCGTATATATCGGGACCGTCACGCAAGTACGTTGGAAATATATTTCATCTTGCCTGTGACTTCTTTCCTGCCGTTCTCTGATACCGAGTGGCTTGTTGTGCCTTGTTCCTGCAATACCATGTACCCGGTAGCCAAGAGGACTAGCGAATGCCTGAGACTTCCTGTCTTTATTCGTCCTTGATAGGAATATGGGGAGGCCGTTCTCCTAGGCACACAAGCCATTGTCGCCCAACATAGGTTGCCTAAGTACTCATCGGCTTCTGTCATCCGTTGGTGTAGTCCAACTCGTCTCCATTATGAGCGGCTAATCTGGATGTCTGTCTTATGAGATTTGGATAAAGATTGAAATGGTGTTCATGTAGGCTCCAATACACTCATCGTTTGTGATGGTTATGAGTTTCTGCATGGCCGCATGTCTACCGACACCCATGTACGATATCTTTATTTATCATCAAGTACCATGTCATCTCATTATACTTACCTTTTAACCTGACGGAGGTCCTTCAATAAGATCTGCCCGGGGGGGGATCAGCTAGTTTCCATGGGGGGGATGAGTGCCTGATCTCAAGTTCTCATGGTGAATGTTCAAAGAAGACGGGTGAAAAGAAATAGTGTGAGAGAGCCTCCGGTCGAGGCTTACCAAGTCTGTATATACGCTATATATTGCTTTGCGTAGCCACTGGTCTACCCACTCCCACGAGACTAGTGAGAGTGAAGATGGGGACCGTTGGTACCAACCTAGGATGGGCATGGCACTCGATGGCTCGAAGCGCTCATGCTGGAGGGTGTACACGCTCGTGGGCGTACATAATGATGCCAGTGCATTGCTTTTTGTGTATATAGCAGCCGAGAAGTTCAGAGAGCGGAAAAGAGATAACCAGTCTTCACACTCTCCCATCCATCGCATTCTTTTAACGTCCTTAGCGTATTCGTTAATATAAATTGTCGTGAAACGATAGGTAATTATTAACAAAGGAAATTTATTTAGAATATATTTCTTCGTTTGCTTTAAATTGTAGACAGAGTACAGTGTTTTAAATAGACTCGTCAGATATAGAAAAGAAATTAATTAAGGACTGTTTGAATTCATCTAGACCTGGATCCTATCGTTCCTAACCTCCCAGATGAAGAGCAACAAGAACTTAACGGAAGCAACGCGAATCACAGACTTGAATGTTTCCTGCATGATATACTACCGCAGCTCCAAGCAATGGTCAGACGAAAAAGGTGTCTATTTAATTTTGTGCCCAAGTATTTTCTATATAAACGTGGCAGAAACACCAAGTACAAGTCTCCAAAGGCAATGGAACTCCACCACCAAGGCTCGAATTAAAAAGAGGCGGCCGTCTCTAGTGAAGACCCTTTGCGGACTTATTTTATTCTTTACATTCAATAATTTCCCCTTGTCCTGCCCGCTTCCGCCCTGTCTCAAACGTAATCATGAGTGTGTATGTACGACCCAATGAACGAAAGGCTGGACGGTGGCATTTAGACAAATAAGAGTGCGAGTTCGTTTATGAGAACTAATGGCCTTGAAGGACCGCCATCCCCCAAAAGGGAACAGTCTCCAAGCCTTCAAGCGCCAGATTTGGAACCAGCCCCTGATGAAGGGAGAGCTACCCATGTCATGCATGGTCCTCGATGCCACTCCCAGAGCACTTTGTTGACACAGCTCAGAACACACTCACACACACACACAGACACACATTACGAGGGATATGAGTATGCGCAGAGACAGAGATATATAAGGGTATGTGTGTGGGGGGGGGCTAAGCAAGACTCTTTCCTCCATTGTCCAAAGAACATGATGGGTCAACTCGGCCGGGGAAGATGGGTTTCCAGTAGTTGCTACAAATCAGTAATAGCACACATAGTCAGGATTCCTTTCGCTGGGTGAGAAAGACAGCGTCTACAATACATGGCAGCCTGAGGGCTTTGGGGATACCACTAGCTCCATGGTTCCGTCTTCATTTACGATTCTTATTCATAACAGCTTATCCAGTATTTCCAGCAAAACGTTTACAGAAACAAACATCATTACGGGCGGAGCTAGGGAATTTAGCCCTTCTTCGACACAACTCCACCCATGTACACAGCGACAAACTAAAACAACCACAATGGCGACGGGACATGGCCACTGGTTTCATACAGAAATCACGATGATAGTGGAACAATAAACAAGCATTGAACCTCCAGTCAAGATCACATTACAGAGCGTCTAATTATTTGCTCATCTGATCGTCGACTATGCCCTCCATACATACGATACAAGGACCCGGCCCTCGACCTCCCGTCAAGAGCATTGTTGCACCAGCCGTCATAAACACCGTAAACTTGCAAGCGTACAAGAAAGTGGGCAAGATGCCATTCTCAAGTACCAGGCAAAACTTCCTTTCGTCTCACCCATGATACCTGACTATGGTTCTCCAAGTCCACCCCACACACACATTTCATTTCATTTATACCGTTTTAACCTCTGAACTCCTCAGCGCCGCTGGCCTCCCATCTGCCGGGAACGAGAGCCAAGGGCACGATACCGGAGACGTGCATCTCGGGGCCGAAGATCTTGGCGTTCAGGCCAAGTTCTTGGGTGGCAGCCTTCATGTTCTTGAGACCCTCCTGGTAGTTGGGGCCGGCACGGCGGACCCAGATCTGGACCTTGTGCTCGTTGAGCTGCTTGGCATAGTCGCGGAGGGCGCGGATGACACCCTTGAATGTGCTGGCGACGTTGGTGAAGTTGGCAATACCACCACCGATGAAGAGGACCTTGCCCTCCTCGGTCAGGGGAGCGCGGAGCATGAGGTCGAGGACGGTGCGGGCGTAGTGGTAGGTCTGAGACTCGGTGGGAGCACCAGAGTACTCACCGTAGTTGGCTAGCTCATCGGCGAAACCGGAAGAGGCAATGGCATCGGCGTAAACGACGGAAGCACCACCACCAGCGACCAGAGTCCAGATACGTCCATTGGGGTTGAGGACGGTGAGCTTGAGGGAGGCACCGGTCTTGGCGTCAAGGTCGGCGATGTAGGCCTCCTCCTTGGTCAGCTCACGACCGAAAGGAGCGGGGAACTCCATTGGCGGGCCAGCATCGATGTTGACCTTCTCGCCGTTGGAGGCGGCGACATTGGTCAGGCCGAGAGCGGCAGGGGAGCGAGCAATAGCCCACTTGACACCACACTCGAAGTCAGCAGTCTGGTCGAGCTTGGCAGCAAGATCGAGGAAGTGCACAGAGGCGGAGGTGGCATCCTCGTTGGGGATAACGACGAGGGGGTTGATCTCAAGGTAGGTGAACTGGCACTCGACGTAGACGGCGTACAACCGGGTAATGAAGTCAACCAGCACGTTGTGAACACCCTTGGGAACCTTTTTCAACAGAGCCGCGGCAATCTCGTCGTTGGAAGGGTATTGTGAGAGATCGACGGGGATCAAGAGCTTCTCAGCCTTGGCGTCAACATCACCGACATCGACACCACCCTCGTGGGTGAAGAGAATCCAGTCGCCCTATCGCAATACATGATTAGCATCGATAACTTGTTATGAGAATCTGACAGATGAGGAGGAAGGGCGGCCGTGTGCATATGGGAGCTTCTGCAAGAGGCATGGGTGGACGGGGTGGACGGGCCACAGGCCTCGTCTCGTGGCATCCGTTCGTCCGGTTCGGGAGAAAAGCTACCGGAAAGGGCAGTCCGGCAGGCGGAATCCACTTATTTGACCCATGGATAGGAAATGCCATAAAGCAAGCAAATTCCTTTCCGTAGTTGCCAAACAAAGTTTACTTCCAATTATTCTCATTTTCAACCGCCGGTGAGCTTCACTTTGCAGTGCGGTGCGTGGTGTTTCACACACACGCGACTCATTGATGGATTGTCCCCTCCGGCCCCGCCACCGAATTGGAGACCACGGCCCGCCACGCGTCTGCCTCTGCCAAGAAGCAAACACTAGCTCGAAAAGTCAGGAAACTGCGACAACTTACATCTCTGACGGACATGATGTTGATGTAGTACTCGGTGTCTTGGGGGTGAGGAACAAAGGGCTCGACGAGGAATTGGCGCAGGACACCAGTAACGGTCTCGACCTTCTGCTCCTTACCAGCACGCTCGGCGATCCAGGCGCGAGCCTCGGGCCAGGTCTTGTTGAGGGCCAAGAGACCGCTCTTGCCACGGCGCTTGATCAGTTGATCGGGCTTGGCGACGAACTTGACACCGGGCTGGAGAACCCAGGGGTAGGTGACCTCGGCCTGGTTGAGGACATCCTCAACGTTGGCATCCTCGGGGAAGTGCAGAGAGCACAACCGGGGGGGAGGGTTGTGCTTGGTAGGGACAGGGAGAGGAGAGGCCTTGATGACGGGAGCGCGGGTGAGGTGGTAGTTGAGGATGGCCTTGCCGTCGGCCTCGAGGATGGACTTGGCGGACATTCTGGCGGTTGTGAGGTGAAAAAAAGGTGAGTTTTCTTTTGGGGTTCTTTTCCCTGCTTTGTTTTGGCCTGAGTTGGGAGCAGACTGGTTAGCAATTGCTTCGGGAAACGAAGTGTATTTGTGTGGCTGTCTAGGTCGGAGTAGGAGCTCGCTGCTCGTCAGCTAGAGGCTTTCTTCCAGCCGAGCTTGTG